GTTTTCATAGCTGGTAAGTATAGTTCTTTCCTGGTTTATTTACTTTTCTTAGTGCATACATTTACAAGTTTTAAATGTATGTGGGGAAATTTTTGTGCTTCCTTTTTTCCATAATATTATAATGTTATTTGACTTTTTTTTTCTGCTGTCATCTGCAAAATAAGGAACTGACACTTTGAAAGGCTCTCCTTCACACACTCCCAACTGCCACAGTGTTCAGCCTTAGTGCATGGGCAGTAATGCGAACTCTCTGAAATGAATCACTTGAGAATAAAGTTCCAAGGCCTGGACACTGGAGCAGAAAAGCAGGCGACTGTTGAGTGAATCTCTGGGTTCACTAATTGTCAAGAATAATTCATGAGACATAGCTTCTTTACCTCCTTGGAGCCTGGAATCTGTATTTAATTGCAAGAGTGACTTTAGGGTCATTTCTCTTAACATTTAATCTACTATGTGGATGTAAGAAATGAAAAAAAGTATCCAAATGTTCAGTATGCAAGGGAGGACATAAATTGGGCAGAGTGCAAGTGCCTTATTTGAGGAAGGGTAGTACTGCCTCCCAGAGGATTTCCCAGCCAAGTGCAACAACTTGTATTGCTTACAACATGAAGTCAGCTTTCTTTCCACTGAAGTCAGGTAACAATTAACAGTTGCTGGCAAAAATAAATAAATAAAATTTTAAAAAAGGAAGAGAAGGAGGAAGGTAGACAAAGATTAAAAACTCAAATAATTTGGCTTGTAAGATGGTTCATGCCTGACAACCTAAGTTAGATCCCTGGAACCCACAGTAGGCTGACTCCTGAATGTTGTCTTACCTCTACAATATGCCATGCCATGTGCCCACATCCGCACACATGTACCACTCATAACAAAAGCACACCAATAAAACAGGTTTTTCCCCTCTGCGGTTTTGGGACTTTAAACTCTAGACCTTCATGCCATGCGAATGCTCTATCACTGGGCCACAATCTCAGTCTCTGCCCCCTCTCCCCTTTCTGTGGCACTGGGAGATTAAACCTCTGAGCTTCCTGTAGGCTAGGCAAGTGTGCTAACACTGAGCTTCCTATACCTACAATGCTGTTTTCAAAAGTTTTTACTTTGAGACGGTCTCACTAAGTTACCCAAACTGTTCTTGAATGCATTTTGTAACCCAGTCTCTCAAGCAGCTGGGATTTCAGTTCTATGTCTTAGGGTGGGGGTGACACACATGACATGACACTCAGTCTTTGCTTTTCTTTTTGAGATAGTTCATGCTAGCCTTAAATGTCCATCTACCTGCCTCAGCTGCCCCAGTGCCGGGATTACACTCTGGATCACTGTTGGGCAAGGAAGTAAACAAAAGCTTTGTATTCATAGCTGGAGAGATGGCTCAACAGTTAAGAGCATTTGTTACAGAGTACCTACCTTCGGTACCCAGAAGCTACAAGGTGGTTCACAACCATCTGTACCTCCAGTTCCAAGGATCCACAGCCCTTTTCTGATTTCTAAGGGCACCAAACATGCATATGGTACATAGACACACATGTAGGCAACACACTCATACACAAAAAAGAAAGAAAACTAACTAAATAAATAAAATGTGGCTGGATGGTGGTGATGCATGCGTTTAATCCCAGCACTTGGGAAGCACAGACAGGCAGATCTCTGTGAGTTCCAGTCCAGTCTGGCCTACACCTTAAGTTCCAGGACAGGCTCCAAAGCTATACAGAGACATCCTGCCTCAAAAAACTAAATAAATAAAATGTAGGCCATTTGGCCTCAATCCTTTTCTGTTGTTTATTTTTCATATGAACTGAATTTTCTTGAGCTGTAGAATGAGTAGGGGTTCAGATAAGCTTTAATTTAGTTTTCTTTTGCAGTTTTTAATAAGTTTTAAAACATGGTAGCTTGTTCTGAAAGATTCCTTAACTCTAATTCTTCTTAACTTTCATCTGACCATCTTCTATTTCCAATGTCTCTTCAACATTTACTTTATTCTGTGACAATACTCACTTTACTCTTAGCTGTTTCTCCTTAGTGCCCCATGATGGTCACTTGGTAGGTCAGCTTTGAGTGTACAGATGTACTGCTTGTTCTTCTGATGACCCTTCACTCAGTCTTAAAAAAAATACACCCCCCACCCACCCCCATTTTTAAAGACTGCTATCTAATTGGGTATCAATAGTCTTTTCTGAAACTAACAGTGTAAGTTTCTGGAGTTCTGAACTGAAAGTTCATCAGCTATTTCTTCCTCTTTCCTCTTCTAACCCTGTCTAGAGTCTATTGGTTGTTTGACACCATCTAGTAGTATTTTGAACAAGTAACATGGGGATACTGTATCACATGGCTTGTTATAATTGTTTTATGGACTTTAAACTTTGCTATCTAGTTTCCCTTTTTATTTTCATGTGAGGATTCAAAGACTGTGCTGATACTAAGCCTCTCTCTGGTCCCCAAACCTATTCCTCTCCATCCCGCCCCTCCATGTACTCTCCTGCTCACCTTGCCACCCACACAGCAGGCCAGAGGTCAACTCTGGGGTTTTCCTTAATCGCTTCTTTATTTTTTGAGACAGGATCTCTCAGTGAACCTGAAGCTCACTAATTCAGTTGGATTGGCTGGCCAACGAGCCCTCAGTATCCACCTGTCCCTGTTCTCCGGTGCTAGTGTTACAGGTTAAAGACTGCTATCTAATTGGGCAATGCCCATGCCCCCCCCCAGCTTTTAGTGGATGTTGGGAATCCCAACTTCGATCCTTCTTTCTTAGTCACCCTTTTTTGATCTCTTTTTAATAAAATATTTGTGGAAGGCATTACCTTGATACACCAAGCATTTATTTATTCATGTGTGTGTGTTTTGCCTGCATATATGTGTGTGTATCATGCTCTGCAACTGGAGTTACAAACAGTTGTGGGTGCCAGAATCAAACTGAGGTCCTCGTAATCAAAGCTCTTAATTACCACACCACCTCTCAGTCCCCTATTTATTTATTTTGAGTTAGGGTCTCACTATGTAACTCTGGCTGGCCTCAAACTCAGAGATCTGCAAGCTCCTGCCTCCAGAGTGCTAGGATTAAAGAAGTAGGACACCATGCCGTGCTGTGCTGATGCACCAGGTCTTACAGTTCACTTACAGTGTAAAATTAAAGCAGTCCTTACTTTCAATTTCAATCTACTAAGAAACTTTCACAAAATCTATCTTGCTGTCCATGTCATAATGTTCCTTTTAATGACAGTTTTGTTTTTGCAACAAAATTCCTCAGGATAGAGAATCCAAGATATTTTAACCAAATAAACTATTGTGGCTGAAGAGCACAGAATATAAATGTTACTGAACACATTAGATGCTATCAAATATTTATTGATCAAAGGTCCAGCAATAGAAATACAACTTAATTGTCTCCATTTTCACTCTTGTCCCTGGATATAAATGCCCTCTAAATCTAACTCAACCTATATTTAAAATAAATGAATGACAATTTAGCACTTTGGAACTTTTTATGAGCTTTTTTTTTTTTTCATATGCCTGCAACATGAAAAATAAATGACCCAGAGACTGGTATTAGGGTTCAACCTTCAAGTTGAATATCAAAACAAAACAAAAAAAAAAACCAAAGCAGCAAGCCACTAGCTTCTTAATTCTACCTCAGACTGAATGCGATGATCCTGTCTCCATGAGTTCTCACTAAGACTCACATTGAATCCTTGATCCTGTCTTTTATACCCCTCTAGTGTTGGAATTAAAGGTGTGAGTTATAATTCTCTTTTAGCAGGCTAAAAGAGAACTATACACAAGATTGTGTATCTTGAGTAGAGTGAATCTTGTGTAGATCTGGGTTGCTTTGGACTCACAGAGATCTGTCTACCTCTTAATCCTGGGTCCTAGAATTAAAGGTATGTACCACCACCTCCTAGCTTCTGGCTAATCTCTATAGCTTGAGGCTGACTTTGCTTTTCTGAATCCTCAATCAAGCTTTAATAGAAATCATAATATATATAACACTATATATGCTGTTTCATTAGAACTTAATATCAAGAAAATCCTTTCCAGAGACTAGACTTCATAATTATACTTCCAAGTACCTTAACAAACAAAACAAAACCCCACACAATTGACAGCTCCCATTATTAACACAGTGCTACGTATCACAAATAATTCAATTAACTATACAAGTTTCAAAAACGAGTTCTTTTTTTTCTGTAAACCAAAGTCGTTATCTAAGTCATTCAATGTGACATACTAAATTATCATTCTAAGCCTAGCTTACCTATCAGAACATTTGGTTTCTCTCTTTCTGCTATTTAAACATGCAAATATATTACAATACATAGATATACAAATACACACTTTTAGAACTCACATCATCGCTGCTGTGGGGTCATTATACAACAACTATTAGTGATAATGTTTCGAGCTTTTTCTCCATATCAAAGGCACTAAGCACCATCAACCCCCCTCCCCATCCCTGCGACCAATCTAAACGTTTTGTTCGTTTAGACAATGGGGGGATGGGTACTGTTTGGGAGCTAAAAAGAGTATCAAAAGGTATCACAAATACGAATCACTGGCTACATCAATGGGTTCAGGGGTCGGGGTTAGATGCAGCTCTTTACAGCTGGAATACTAGGCGATTCCACCGCAGGAACGTTTGCTAGTGCTTGTACACAGGTCTATTGCTTTGCGTGGGACGAGACACCCGGGAAGGCATCCCTCTCAGCCTTGCAGCCAAAGGCGAAGCCAGGGCAGCTCCCAGGAGGGCACAGGGCTCACTAAAAGCCTCCTCACTAAGGGCTCCTTTGGAAGTCGCGGAAAGCTCTCCCAGGGGGAGCTCAGACCTGCCGCAAGCACCTGGCGCGGCCGCACTGATCTTGCCTGCCTCTACCCGGTGTGCTCACCGGGAGGCCGCCAAGCCTCTGTCCTCCCCATCCTTCTCCTGTCCGGCTGCTTACAGCACCGCTGGCAGCTGTAAGGCAGGCCCTGGTCCCACAGCGCCGAGCGGGCCGCGGCCTGTGCTCACCCACCTGATGCTCCTTCACCACTTCGCTGAGGCAGGGATACCGCTCCGAGATCCATCGGTAAAACTTGGGGACTCCCATTTTGACCGTCGACACTAATTCCAGTCGGTGCAGAAACGAAACCAAACGCCCCGCCCGGGCCTACGCCACCACCTCCGGCCGTCGCTCGGAGGATGACAACACAAGGTCCGCCAGACCATAGAGCAAGCTGCGGGCCTAGAGGGGCAGGACGGTGCCAGTGGGCGGGGCGTCCTGTCTACCTCGCTGCTTTTCCGTACTCGTTGGTGGGAGGCGCAAGAGGCGTGATTGTTGTGGGAAGCTCAGTTTTGAAAGTGCCAATTAGTAGAGGTGTGGACTTGCAGACGGTATGAAAAAAGTTAAAGGGCAGTAGGGAGAATGGATTGGTTAGTTTTATGGCAACTTGACACATGGTGGAGTCATTGGGAAGAGGAACCTCTGAGAGAAATGCTGCCTCCAGATTGGCCTTTGGGAATATTTTGATTAATGATCGATGTGGAGGGCCCAGGTCACTGTGGGCTGGTGCCACCCTGGGCAGGTGGTCCTGGGGTGTATGAGAAAGCCGACTGAGCGAACAAGTCAGAAAGCAGCGTTCCTTCGTGGCTTGATTCCTGCCACAAGTTACTGTGATGATGTGATGCGGAAGTGTAAGCCACATAAACCCTTTCCTTCCCAAGTTGCTTTTGGCCATGATGTTTATCACAGCAATAGAAGCCCTAAGTAAGAGATGGTATTGGACAGTGGATTTTGTACTGCCGGCATCTCCTCCTGGGATCGCTAAACTATTTTTCAACACGGACTGGAAGAGATCTGGTTCGTTTGTGAGGGGAGTTATTTTCTGAGTAATGTACGTTTCAAGATTGGGGGTTACTCCCCTCCCTTCCAATTTTTGCTGCCCTGTTTCAAAACCAAAAAACCAATAAAACCCCAAAAACCTGGCGTGGCCTTGCACACCTATAAATTTAGGAGGCATAGGAGGATCAGTTAAGGCCATTCTCAGGCAAATAGCAAGTTCAGGGAGATCCTGGGCAATATGAAAGCCTTTCTCAAACCAAAAACTCAAAAAGCCTAGTGTGGTATGCAAGTCTTAATCTCAGCACTTGAAGGGTGCAGGCAGGAGGCTCAGGAGTTCAAGGTCATCTTCATCTACATGACAAGTTCCAGACTAGTCTGTACTACATGAGAATTTGAATCAACCAAACAGGACAAAAGCCACCATGAACATCTCTGTACAGGTCTCTATCATTATGTGACTTTCATTACAGCAAGTACTTGTGAAGTTACTGATTCTTTCCTTTGGTACTACCTATCTTCCATGATTAGGATTTGGACAGTATCCATCTTTAGTCAAGAACTTTCCATTTATGTGACTTCGGTCTCCATGCAAGGACTGTATAGAATAGATTCATTCTCAGGCACTTTCTCTTCTTTATGTCTACAAACTACCACAACAAAACTGTTTTATTCTTTTGTTGAGCCTATGTAGTCCTGGCAGTCCTCACTGTGTAGACCAGATTAGTTCAAACTCACAGAGATCCACCTGCCTCTAACACCCAAGTACTGAGATCAAAGGCATGCACCATTACATCCAGTTTGTTTTAAAATGTTTAAACCAAATCTCTTGGTTTTTATCAGGTTAGATTTGTAAAAAAAAAAAAAAAAAAAAAAAAAAAAGGTTTTGTTTGGGGAAATGAAAATCAGTTTGAATTATTTAGATTTAAAGCACTAATTCCTGACTTTGACCTTCTAAGAGATTAGATTGGCATTGTATTTAGAAAATGATTCTTAAAAAAGAATGAAGTTATATATCATTTGTAAGAAAATAGATGAAGTGGAGATAATTATGTGAATTAAGTCAGTGTCAGAAAGGTAACATTTTCTTTCATTTGTGATTCCTAGATTTTATATAGCTACTTAAATCATGCATGTATGTGACATGAAAGCAGAAATAACACTGTTGAGAGAAATAAAATGCATCGAGGCAGGGAACAGCCGGAAAAATGGAAGTTTTCCTTGTATGTTATATATTTGTATAAAATGATTCTTATGTAATCCAGTACTATTTTTAACAAATATACCAATCAGTGCAAATTACCTAATTAAACATAACTATGTGAACAAACCACCAAAATCAAATTAAAATGGCTAAAAAGTACATACATGCCTCCCCCCAAACCAGAGTATTGAAAACAAGATTGCCTAATTACCCTGTTCTTAACTGTTAGTATCAAGTTCTGGGTAGTAAACTATGTTCAGTTTTCACATTCATAACTTCTGGCTTATAATGTTTTACATCATAGGGGAAAAAAGAGTTCTACTTAGCAGTTTTCCATTTATCTGTATTAGTTTGCGGTTCTTTTCATTTTAATCTATAAGAAAATGTACAGAAAGAAACCCAAATACATTAAAAAGTTTAGATTTTAAAATCTTACAGAATTTTAAGTGTTGTGTTTTCCATGACCATTGTTCTATGTATTGTGTCACACTAACACACTAACAGAATGGTAGTGTCTTTAAAATTACAGAAAGTTGGGGTGGCTCAATGGTAGAACATATACCTAGCATACTCTTCTGTATCACCAAAATACATGAATGAATAACTACATAATTGACATTCATGTTTCTTGAGTTTCTGTCCCATGATCACCTTTTCATTATATTACAGAGCTTTATGAAGTGAATTTAATGATGGTCTATCATTCCCCAAGGGCAGAAGCGGTAGCTCTGTGTACAGGTCTAGTCTAGTTCTTGCCCACAACGCAAAATCAATATAACTTTGTTGTTGTTCAAATGAAACTTTATGCTAACACTTTGCAAAGAAAATTGATAGAAACTATAAAATGAAATTAGGTTGGCTGGTTCCTTGTTTTTTGATCATTAGAATACAATATTCTATTTCTCAATTTGTAATATGCAAGTATGCACTAAGAAAGCCGTGTTTAAAAATCAAATGCATTTCTCTGTGAGTGCAAGCCCAGCCTGGTCTACAAATCAAGTTCCAGGACAACCAGGGCTACACAAAGAAACCCTGGCTTGAAAAAAAAAAAAAGCCAAAATAAAAAAAAATTGAATTCATTATTTTAAATGCAATCAAATACTAGTTTCTCTGAGAACATAAGTAAACGTATGTTGCACTTTAGATTTAAAGACATACCACTGATTAACACATGAATTTTAGATTATTAATATAGTCTTTGAAATAATTTTATTTTACATATATGGGGTCCAACCAAGGTACATCTGACATAGTAAGTTTTCATCAGTAGCTTCTTGTATGAGGTAATGCACATGTCCTTCAATAGATAATGGCAATCCTGTTACTCTATTTCGGGTCTTGATTACACCTTGCAGTCGTTGTTCAATGTCAAGAACATGGGTCTTGGCCTAAAAAGATATAGAAAATTGTTAAGGCTACAGACCCAATAACAGGTAATGTTGGTAATTTGGAGTGTCTACTTTTCTCACTACTTATTAATGTTAGTGCTGTTTTACTAAACAATATCCCATTTGTGGCAATAAAACAAATCCAGTTAACTTGAGATGCTGATTTTGATGTTTACAATGGCTAGCATCTACTAATGGGACATGTTTCTCTACAATAAAAATCACCAGGTAACTTTGTACATCCCAATTCCAGAAAGGTAATAATTTAAAATATATGTTTTGAGGGCTAGTGGGTAGCTCAGTGGTGGAATGTGTGTTTGTTTAGTAGACAAGAGACCAGGAGTTCTATTCCTTTCCATTATCAGAAACAAAATAAAGCAAACAAAAATCAAATGTTAGTTCTTAAGAAGATTCTAAAGATGGTGTCATGGGAGAGGTCCTTCTGTGTATATGTTTGTCTTATTGGTTGATAAATAAAGCACTGTTGGCCAATAGGTAAGCAAGTTAGGTGGGACTATGAGAGGAGGATTCTGGGAAATGGGAAAGGGAGAGAGTCACCATGTGATCCCAGGAAGAGAGGACGCATAAGGCCAGTGTCCTCGGTAAGGTAAGTCCTTATAAAAAAATACAGATTAGTATTTATGGATGATAATTAAGACTGAGCTAGCAAATAAGAGATCCTAGTCATTGGACAGCAACACTGTAACTAATATAAGACTCTTGTGTGTTATTTGGGGGCCCTAAGGCGGCGGCAGAACCCAGGCAGCTGTAGGAGTTATCCTTACAATGGTGGCAATGTTTTAATGGCTGATAAATTTACTTAAAATTCCATTTGCATGCACTAATGTAAATTTATTAAACTATTTAGAATTCTTTACAGCTTCTTAAGAAAAAGCACACCTGAAGCAAAATTGAGAATGATATTATTAGAAAAATAATTTTCAGAATGAGAATGAAGCCTGGTGGTGTTGAAATAATTAGTGCATGAACTTAGCATACACAAGGCCTTGGGTTGAACCCAGCATCAAAGTGGGGGTGGAGGAGAAAAGGATTCCTCAATGTATTTTTGTCAACTCTGAGGTTATAACTAATTTTAGATTTCAGAGTCATCAATTGTGAAAAATCCTTTTGTACACTGTAAAGATTTGTCACTGTAATTGGTTTAGTAAACAAGCTGATTAGCTACTAGCTAACAGGATAAAGTTAGGCAGGAAAGCCAAACTAAGAATGATGGAATAAAGAAGGGCAGAGTCAGAGGAGTTGCCAGGAAGATCAGAAGGAGCAGGAGATGAACGTGCCATGCTAATAAAGAAACCACCACGTGGCAGAGTGTAAATAAGGAATACGGGTTAATTTAAATGTAAGAGGTAGCTAGTAACAAGCCTAAGCTATTGTCTGAGCATTTATAATTCATATTCAGCCTCTGAGTTGGTTATTTGGGACCAGGCAGTCAGGACAGGAAATGCCCATTTACAATAAATATTTAACTTGCCAACAGTAATATTTGGAATCAGATCTCATTTAAAGAGAAAGAAATTTTAGCTTATGCCAAACTGTAGCTTTTACTAACCTTTTCATTGACAACTTCCCCAGTTTCATTCAGTGGTGCTTTGGAATGTCCTTTCACTGGTTTACTCCATTCCACAAGAGGATCATGCAGAAAAGTCTTTAAGACACTAAAATTGAAACAGATATAATAATGATAAATTCTTTACCTTTGCAAAAAGAAATCTTACTAAAATCAATATTTAAAAGTAGAATAAAGGAGGATTAGAAAGATAAAGTA